AAATATACATAAATAAGTTATAGTTTAAATCAAAAACAAATAAACAAATCTAATTCAAAATGAAATATAGAAACTACTTTAATACAATTAATAACAATAAATGAGGCTAAATCTAGCATATAGTTGATATGATTAGAAGGAATTTGTTTAAAAATATTAGACAATTCATACAGCTTACAATAACAATTAAACAATAATACCATTGTAACTATACTGAACATATAAAATAAGTTCTTTTTCATGAACATATTATTCATTGATAATATTAAAAATATATAACATTCTATGAATACTTGATTAAACTGTATAGAAACTCTTTGATTTGTTTACAGTTGACTGCCTTATCAGTGTTGCTAATCATAAATTGAGTACGACTAATCAACTAAGCATACAATTATTATTATATAATGTTAGTCTGTACAGAGTTTCATCTATTTTATTTGTTCATTATACGAATACAAATTACTTGAAGAGGTTAAATATACAAGGTAATATATAATAAACTTGTAATTTAAGAAGATTCGACTCTGTCTGTCTTCTTTTTGATGGTGTTACGTTCTTTGATTTGAATACCGTAATTATGGATCGATCATTGACCTTTTGGGCAACATCATCAAACCAAAATCAAGAAAAAATTCATGTTCTGAGAAATAATTTTAAGAGCATTAAATTATTTTTTCAGACGATTTCATTTGCATCTGGTTGTCTATGTACGTTGTATCATTTATGTCTTTTGTGGTCAGATTGACTGTTTCGTTTGGTTGAGTTAAAGCCGTGTGATTGATTGGTCTTTGTTTTATCAGATAACTAAATAATTTAGTTCGAATAACGTGACATCGCTCAAAGAAGTTTCCTTAGATCTAAGACTCCTTCATCTTAAAATGAGTTAATGAATTAGGGCACGAGAATAAAAATTACTTTGTGAGGTCAGTTTGCCATATGACATGACGAAGCTGCTATATATTTAAGGTTTTAACGTTGACAAAGGCTTTATAAAATGCTGAGAGAAATCTGAGCAAATAATGTATATCTTGTAATAACAACTCTAATGTGAACGAAAGGAAAACTAGTAGAACAAATAGCAGACCTGACAAATTCAGCTGATCAACAATATTTTTGTAAACGATATTATGCAATCTACCCCATTTTTTTCAGTTGGTCTATGTGATCTTAGTGCTTTTAGTTAGTACTAAAAATCGCTAAAAAAGTATGACCATCATACCATACTGATGAAGTGGATAATGCGTAAATGTTCCATGTGGGTTTTTAGTTCAAACATTCATGCAAATATCACTAAGAGGTGTGGAAGTCTAGATGATAATTTTCATATGAAATATGATACCGACACCGAATTCCACCATTAACCAAAACCAAATTTCTTCAACTACAGAAAAAGAATTATATAACCAAAAGTACTGATTTCTACTGGTAAGTTACTAATATTTAAACTACGATATCCTTGATTAAATGAAAGCGCTTGTTTGAACGATTAGGTCAATGAATCATAAAACAATTTATCATACGTGTACTTGGCAGCCACAATTTTGCAAATAAAAACGACTGAAAAGGTATATACTTAAAAACGCTGAGAACCCAACAGAGTGTTTATTAGAGCAAAAGACAACGGATATGACTGCCAAAATTATTTAGTGTAACCTATCGATATAAAGAAATCTCAACGTTACAAATTAAATATTGATAAATAAGTCAAATTTTTACCCAAAAGACAGACGAACGGAAAATAAGTTTTGTTTCCCTAAGAAAAAAATCTTAACAATTATCAGGTCCTAAAATAGCATCTTCCTTAGGCCTCATATTGGTCAAGATAGATAAATTTACTGCTTTTATAAGGTTCTGTTTACAGGTTTACTTCAGAGTTGTCATTGTGTTCATGATAAAGATACTTAAATTTGGCCAGCACTTGTTCTGACATAACGATACTCATTTTATCATAACCGTGCAAACGATTGTTTAGTTGAGATAAATTTGCATACTGACACCCTATATTAAAACCTATTGCTTCAAATAAATGAGTGGGCATGGTGGTTCAAGCTAAACTACCTATCATACCTAATATTGAGACACAGAAGTAGATGAGTTCATTCGTATGAAAAATTTGCCGAATAACAGGGTTGACGTTTTCATTTCACATTTAACCATTATTATCGTGTTTTGTAATTGAAACTTCTGGCTATATTTTGAAACGCAAACCAATACTGACCGACCAATGACTCATGAACAATTTCATTTCATACAGTTTTTAATGCTGACTACTATTAAGTAATTGAGTAACGCAGCATTCAGGTGAATGCTCACATGTGAGTCAGGATGGAAGTAGTCCAAACACACACGTCTATGGCTATAACTTTTGTTTAAACAATTCAGGATGATGGATTTTGCTGGTCTTTATAAGTTAGTGCTAAACCTAGATCCAAAGCATCTTCTTGGCTGCCTTTGAAATACCAAGAACATGCAAGGTCTTTAAGTCTTTCAATCAAATGTATTAAGTTCACAAATTCATAGCTTATATGTATTTGGGTTTACTTTTATAAAAAATATCATTCTCTAATAACCTCACTTCGACCTCATCAGGATATCTGTTATTTGAGTGGTTTTTGGTATCGCATTTGAATATCAATAAAATTTAATACGTGACACCATATCTCAAACGTTTGCCAACATTTTTAAAAGCTTACGCATATTTTGTCTTGACTTTAAAGTAAGTGGAAGTAAAATTACTCCCACAGTTTAGAATGTAAATTATGGCAGAAGAAAGTTCCGCTAGCAGATTCTTATCATGTTTATTATGACATGCAAATATTAGTTCTGCATAAAGTTGTAGTGACACTGTTCTCCAGATGTCACTTTAGCTTTATTAATCGGGTTCTGGAACATTTTGTTCGGCGTTTCACTTAGCCAAATTACATCTATAGATAATCAAAATTCTTTAAAGTTGCCATTACATTCGAGACTAAAGTTTATAATCCTCGCCCAGGGTCGTTTTGCAATATCTCGTTGCTCATACTTATGACATATCTCGATGAAAAACGGATATTAGAATAGATTATTCTTGTCTCACTAACTTATTAGTGGTTCCTAAAAGCTGATGGGCTTTTAAGGATCAAAAGTTACCTGTAGACGTAGCCTACATTGACTTCAGCAAAGCTTTTGTCAAAGGTCCGCACAACTGGCTGTCATATAAGCCAAGAAATGTCGGAATTGGAGGCAATCTATTGTTGTGGATAAAACACTTCCTAGTTGGGCGCCAACAAAGAGTACGTGTGAACTCAAGGTTATTTAGCTGGGAAATTGTGCTTAGTGGAGTGCCCCAGGGTACAGTTTTGGAGCCAGCGCTATATTTTTCTATGTAAATGACCTTACTCGTCTCCTATCATCATCGGTCTTGCTATATGCTGACAATATCAAGATACGGAGAGCAATATGAAGTAAGGGCGATAGTTTAGAGCTCCAAAATGACCTGAAGAACTTATCTGGATGGTCTAAAACTTCGAAGGTGTCGATAAATACTTCCAAGTGTGTTGTGATGCATATCGGTTATCAAGGTACAGATGCATACACGATGAATAACACTGAGCTACCCGTCGTCCAGACACATAATTATTTGGGAGTCATCGTTAGCCAAGACTTGAAGACTACTGCACACTGCCGTGCAATAGCCGCCAAAGGTTTTAGAATTTTACGTAGGGTCTTTAGTCATGTCGACGCTAAAACGTTTTTGACTTTGTATTCAGTGTTAGTGTGTTCTAAACTTGAGTACTGCATACAAGCGGCTAGCCCCTGTTTAAAAAAGACAGTGAGCGTTTGAAAAACGTTCAAAGAACAGCAACTTAGCTGATCCCCAGAGTAGCCTTCCAAAAGAGAGAATTTACAGGGATACTCCAAATATTTTCATCAGCCTAGAACAAATTACTTGTCAGCTGACTATCGACATTCTCATCGAATCATCGAGTGAAATTCATTACCTCAGTAAGTGATTGAGGCTCCATCCGTCGACTCTTTCAAAAGAAATTTGGATCAACTAGGAGACTATCATTGCCAAGACTAACACAGGCCTCCTGTCCTTTCCAAAATGAAACTGAAATGATGTACATCATATGATGCAGAAAACTACTAATTAAATTATATAACTTTCAGAGTCGGCTGATTCTAATTCATCCAAAAAACTATGTGCTTCAAGTCACATCTGCAACTTTCAATGTTTAGGTTATTACATATTTCAAGACAGCAACTAGAGGCATATAAAACACTAGTTGGTACATAAGTCCAGGGTTTTCTTTCAGTGGGCGAATAAATGTAGTTAAATGGACAATCATAAAAATAGCAAAACTTCCAGAACATTTGCGTGCACGAATGCCCACCAGACAGAAATAATGAACAAATTTTGCTAATCAGATCAAAGTGTTTTGAATTGACTTTCGTAAAATGAACTCCGGAGAAACTAATGAGGTCATATTAAATTTAATCCCTGTAAAGAATGTGAAGTAATCTGTTCATCTTATATTAGCCATACATCAAGATAGCATTCTGAGAATGATTCATCACCTCAAACCTCGTTTTTTGTATCAAACAACAAAGTTCCGGGTGGACACTACTTATTCATGATGTTTGGTTATAGATCATTTTGTTCAACAACTCGAGAAATATATCGATAATTTGTTCTCCTGTGGATCACATATACATACATATATCTCATTTCATAATAAAAACTAGAAACAAAAAGCATAACTCTGAAAACCTCTGAAAAGTAAAACATCATCTTAGATTGTTTTATTCTCAGTCCCAACCAAAACATTTTCGAGATGAGGAGCAGCCTAAACAACTAATTAAAAAGTAGATAGATACTAGTTTCGACCATTTCCTTCACGCACATGATGACGCAAAACTTGAGTTAAGTTAACGCTAAGACGCTAGAATGATCATTACTTTGGTTTGTGTTAATCAACCGTAATAAAAAAGAGAGAAATTTAATAATAACATACCTTCTCGCCCTTGGATTTCTATATTCGTTATCACTGATTGTACAAATGCAAATAATAAAATGTATTTCATCTGTAAATTCCATGAATGTCACCATTTAAGTTTAGACTGCTTAAGCGAATATGCATGCGCGATAATAATGTAAGAAAACGAAAACACACAAAACCTTGCAATCATAAAATTTGATCGTTCAAACAAAACAGTTACTGTGTTTGCTGAATGTCAGTTAATACTGTTGAATACAGTAATACAATACTTCTTCTCACTTTCAGTACTAAATAAAAAATCGATCAGTCAATTAAGCAGTAACATTTTTTCCCTGGCAATGCTTGTTTCTTCACTAGTCTGTCAGTTTTTGTTCATCGTAACATCATATATAACTTGACATGGATATTTAGCATGTTTGAAAAGTTCCAATTTTCATCATGTTGGAGTTCGTATTTAAACTTTTAAATATTAGTACTTGCGCCCATACAACTTGTAAACCATGCAATTCTGGCCTGACGATGTCAGGGCCTGATTCTGTTGTGCCAAAGCTAGCTGTCACGACAATGGCGTGACTGAGCAACGTGCAAAGTTATTCTCAGTAGTCAGGGGACTAACGAAAGATTTCGGTAGTTGTTTTACTCGTAGTACGTTAACTATTAATGTTTCCGAATCTAACGAATCTTTGAAAAGCCCGTCCTTCAACGTGGATATATAACTGATCGACAATGATTAGCAATTGCACATTATCAGATAGCAATAAGAGTCGTCAACAAAAATGTTGCTATGTATTATGGTGTTCTTATATAACTCTATCTAAACCTTTTAGAAAAGTGCAGGCGGTTCTCGTTCCATTTCAAAACAAGACTGCATTCGCAGATCTGATTCTGATTATCATCAGAACCTCTGGCATCGAAGTTCGTTTTGTCAAAGAAAATTTTCAGCCGACAGACCTCTCACTTGTTCTCTTCACAGTCAACTTAGACTCAAATCGTCAGAAACTCTTTCAACAGGTTTATCGCGAACTTCCTTTTCTAGACCACGTAGAACAAATGACCCTGTAGGGCCAGCAAAATGTCACTAAGCCCTAGCCGAATCATACGGCAGTTGAGTCGTTGAATATCGATCCTCGTCAAGGTCAGGGACAACCAACTCGCATCAGTTAATCGTATGCCATGGACTGGCCCATGCGGCAGTGGTCTTACTTTCGCTTGTATCTACTATAACTAATACATTTCTGTAATAACGTCCTCTGTGTTGTACAGTCTTCAACGCATCTATGGTAACTTGATACGTCGATGGTGCAGTCCAAGTAAAGCGCTGACCACGAGGTGTGACTTCGACGTTAGCTAGTTTGTCACACCATTCACGTCTAACTCGAGTAGGCCTCCAATCATTTCGACATAGATCATCTACGTTGGTGATCTACAACCGTATTTGATGTTGATACCAAAACACGAATTTCGGTTAACTCAGCTTAGGTCCAGACTCAACAGAGCTTTTAAGGAACTCCCTCGTCAGTAGGCATTCTAGTCCAGTTTAGTCTGTGAATATGGCCTTCTGTTTTACATTAATGATATGAGGACTAAGGTTAGTTGTTTCTTCGACAGAAAGGTTGGAGTCCTCCCTTAGGAAACAAATGTTTGTCCACAAAACCTGGTCTGCAGTTTACAGGTGATCAATCGATCAGAATCATCCGTTTTCAAATCTGACTATGTCTGGCAACGCATTCAAATCATAGTCATCTCCCATTCATCTCAACAGAATGAACGGGGTGCAGAGAAAAGCTTCCTGAGTATATTGTAGAATACCCAGAAACCTTATATTCGTGCATGAAGCATTCAATAGAGATTAAGCTACATCTCGAGTAGGACTACATCAGCAGTGGAAATGGACTACGACAAAACACAGATATTCTCACACTTTTTTAGTAATATGCGATATTCAGAGATATCTTAGCCTCTGACATAAATAAACCTAGTCATTTACCCTGTAGTGGCATTGGACCATAACCACACAATCCTCAAAGCTGAACACGAGACAACTCGGAAAGTAGATATTCAATATTTAACACGGAGAAATACCTAACGATGGAGAAGGCGGGAGGAAGGTGTTGAATAAATTGGGGTTGATCGAATGGCATGGCTCGGCCATGCAGGTGAGCCGGACTAAAGAAACGCGACCTATTGTTGTTAACCCGTATTTCCACCTTAACCTTCTCAATCGATTTTTATTTCTGTAAACCCATTATTCTAATAGTCCTATGATTAAACCTTACATGTATTATCGTAATGCTATATGGATTAGTTCCCATCAAATACTAGCTCAATCGATAGTAGAAACTGGTCGTCTATATTAACCAATTAGCTTTGGTTAACAAGCCTTAATAGCATTTACTGCCTCAGCGACATAAGATTGTTCAAACATCAAGCTGTAGCAAATATGACCTATAAATAACGTAAATATACATAGACTAGCAACAACAAGAATGACACTATTCCAAAAAAGTACTGTGAGTTCCAGCTATAAGTTTTCTGCAATCATGAGGTCATTTTAGATGGTCCGTTCAATGACAACCACACAATAATCTGGATTCATTCAATTGTTGTGATCCGAGCGAGTCCCAAAAACTTCAACAGCATCAAGCACCCTGGAATTATTTGCCATACTGGATGTTTTATTCTGGATGCATTCGGATCATTGCTACTCACGAATAAGCCCATCATAGTCGTTGTTACTTTACCTATTTGGGTTTATGGATTGGTTTATCATATTAGCAGCCTAAAATGCGGACATAGTTTAGACAATAAGATTACAAATTTAGGTACTTTCAACTGCACTAGTAAAATAACTAAATCCGCAGGTAGCTTTTGTCTAAACAAACGTTTAAAATCAAAACTCCGGAGCCTATTAGAACTAACACTAAACGAATACTTCTGAATTAAAATTTATAATATAATTAGGCATCTCGAATTCTTTAACGTTATAAATTTCTGATAATTTCGAATCACCTAAAACAACAATACCTATTTTTCCACTGACTAATCCTCAATCAACACTATAACTAGTTAAACATAGTTTCAGAATATCGTCGTAAAGAATTTCATGACTTGACAATCACATAATATGACTGATAAAATTAATGAAACTATTAACGAAATTGGTCAACAAATTGACTTATCATTATCACTAGTGTTGTTTTTCTTTTATCGTCATTCACTACAGATGATTACAGTATGTTTCCCTATCAGTTGCTCATTCAGTAAATATCTCAAAACCTTGTCAGTCTAATTGATGGTTTAGCGACACAATCATGCATGCAAATAATCAGTGCAAGCAGTCGAGCAAATCTCCTGCAGACTGAAAACATCAACGTCGACTTTACCCCATTACTGGCTAAGGTTCAAGCCATTATCATAGACATGAGTTGGGAGTGTACTCATCTTGGTTACAACCTATGTTCTCGCTGATAAACAAATGAGCATCACTCACTGTTAATCATGTAAAAACTTATTTAACCGAATACATCTTGCAGCACCACATCACCTAGTGATGTGACACATAGACTTAACTGATTGCAATAACTTATAATCATTATATCTCAACTGAATCGTATTCCACCTTATGATAAACTGTATACTTGCAACTAATTTGTATTCATCATCAGCCGTCAGGTATAAATATAAATAAATAGTCTATGGCAACGCAGAACATTGAGTCTAGAGCACGTCTCTTACGAATAACTCATGTTTAAAGGTTTGTTCTTAGTTATATGTCCAAAATTCGTATAATTATCACCTTTCACGTATTTGATTTTTTTCATAACCATTCATGTGTATTAGTAATACTACTAAATTTCTAACACGGTCAAGTAGAAATGAGGTCGAGAAAATCTCCCTGTACCTAAACAAACCGTATCAAACGAACTGGAACACTAGTTGGAATCCTTCTCCACGGTAATACTTTTGTTCCTTCAGTTAGCCTACTAATACAGATACAACTGGAAATCAACACATATGGGTAGGTTACCGGCATAATCGTTATTTGATTTCATAATTTAAACCAAAACTAATACCAATATTAACATTTCTACAACATTCATTACTATAATATTTCTAAACACAAAATACTTACTACCTATACGTTAAGTTACTAACCAACGGCTATTAGCACACATCGTTTTATTATCATTATTATTTTTATGCCATTCTTTATAGTTCAAATAAACTTCACCCAAATTTTCATTTCAAATATGTTTAACATGAAGGCAGATACTTGAAAATTATTACATGTATTACTCGACCAGGTGCTGCTGCCTTCTTTTTGATTTATCTTTCAGCTTATCATTACCCGGGGGATTCTTACTAGTCTTGGTAACCTCCGGCGCGCGACGATCCCATCCGATTACGTATTGAACCAACACCACGCTGATTCTGGCGAGGGAGTCGTGTAGTGGCATTGGACCATAACCACACAATACTCAAAGCTGAACATGAGACAACTCGGAAAGTAGATATTCAATATTTAACACGGAGAAATACCTAACGATGGAGAAAGCGCGAACAATGAGTTGAGTGAATTAGAGTTGATCGAACGGCATGGCTTGGCCATGCAGGCGTGGTCCCTGCTGAATGTTATCTTATTTCTTCTATTCATATTAAATATATTGTTCTTTCTCTAGCCTAACCTTGTTCTACATCATGTATTGGTAATTGATACGATACAGTGAGTTGGCGTAGTCGATGGTGTGACTTCCACGTAAGATCTTATAGATTAGGCAGTTATATCATGACAAATCTACAAATTTAGGATTGGGTCTATTATTAGAGCAGCACTTATATCATAGTAGACCATAATTCTACAATCCCTTGCTGCTAGACACGGAAGCCTGTTGAGCGAAAGCTACTTCTATTCTGTCCACAAACTTTTGAACCGATCATACGTAAAAACGTTTGTGTTACAGAATTCTGATGACAATTGTTTTCTTTTTTAATCATTTTGGACGTATTTTACAGGGTCTTTTGGTTTTCCTTTACCAAATTCGTTAATTAGATAGCGGAGACCTAGCTCCTAAGTAGTCGCAATACCCAAAAGGTTGTAGAATTATGGTTTACTATGATATTAGTGCTGCTCTAATAATAGACCCAATCCTAAATTTGTAGATTTGTCATGATATAACTG